TGAAAGCTAATAATTTGCTGGCCAATAATTAGGGCCTTTCTAAATTCACTGCCTTCAAAAATGTGTCATGGACCATAAAATCTGGTCTAGTGTGTGCTTTTACTCTACACTATATACAGGGAAGATCAGTATTTCCCAAATTGAAGGTCCTGACCCAAAAGGAAGTTGCAAGGTTATTTTAGAGTAGGGATGTTAAGGATTAGTCAACTACCCGATAAGCAAATACTTATAGGATAGCTGACAGGATAGTCAACTCCTCCCTCTCCTTGCTGCCTCTATCAAATAGAGGGAAGAAGGGGGTACTTCAAAGCAGCAGCGCCACATGGAGCCCAGGGTCCTAGGCTCCATGCGGCACTGCTGCTTTGAAATGCCACAGTGACGTTTCAAAGGGGCAGTGCCACACAGATTATCCTGGGCTCTGTACGGTGCTGCCCCTTTGTAATGCTGCAGCAGCATTACAAAGGGGCAGTGTCGCCCTATTGACTAATCGAATAGTCAATGCAAAAATGCATCAGCTATTCAATTATTGAATTACACGATACTTAACATCCTTAATTTAGAGTGCTTGCTGTATTGCCACCTTTACTTCTGCGCTGACTTCAAAGTTAGGCAACCAGAAAGCAACAGCTGTTGACCAAGTGCCCAGCTCTGAAGGCAGCAGCAGTGCAGAAGCAAGGGTTGCAATACCATACCCTACCACCTTTACTTCTTGTACTGCTTCTGGAAGCAGCTTTGCTGTTTATTTGGGGTCGGGAAGGAATTTCCCTCCAGGGTAGATTGGCAGAGGCCCTGGAGGTTTAATATAGTGGTAGTATTCATGTAGCCATATTATATGTAAAGTTATGAATTCTCTCTGAATGATGCTGATGGCACATGCTCAAATCTAGGTAACCTCAATTAGAACTGGTCACTCAGGTCTCAAAGAATAGTGATAGAAATGTAGCCGTGTTAGTCTGGTGTAGCTGAAACAAAATACAGGAATGTGTTTACCTCAATTTACATACAAGGTGTCAAATCCTCAGATGGGAGGGAGGGAGCAAGACAGGAGATAAGGAAAAGCCAAGTTTCAGCAAACAAGCAAAAGGAAACAGCATGAAACATTGTTCACCACCAGTCATCATGTTGCTTTCTTAACTGTTTTAATAATAAATGTTGCTTTGAGGGGAAACTTTCTGGAAAACACATCTTACAGGGGAACTGGACTGTAAAAGTGAAGGGTTACAAACACCCCAACTTCTCTCCCCTTCATCTCTCTCTTTTACCTCAAAGAGACAAAAGAAAACAGGCTGCTGGATCTTGGGAGTAGATTCCAACCTAAATCTTGCTCAGCAATGCTACCAGAAATCTGAGGTAAGAATTTCACTTTGAACCAATAGTTATAGAAATGTAGCTGTGTTAGTCTGGTGTAGCTGAAGCAAAATACAGGACTATGTAGCACTTTAAAGATTAACAAGATGGTTTATTAGACGATGAGTTTTCGTGGGCCAGACCCACTTCCTCAGATCAAATAGTGGAAGAAAATAGCGTAGTTTGTTAAGTTTAGAAAGCATTTTATCTGCATTTCTCTTGCAATCATTTCTAACTTCAATACCTCAATATGTGTTCACACTTAAAATCTCTTGCCTTATAGTTAAACAAACATGTTTTATTCTTTAATCAAAATTAATCCAGTGTTGTCAACAGTAGGGATAACTCCATTTAAAATGGTAAATTGTTGTATCTTGATTCCTTTACAAGGGCAACAAGATGTAATATCTGAACTGCTAAGCAGTGGGCAGGACAGCGCTCCACACACATTTTGGGGGGAAATGACCAGGAAGCTGTGTATTGAGGTCACCCAGCAAGTGATAAACAAGGCTGGTGAAAGTCAGAGTGTGATTGGTGTGTGCGGACAGGCTGCTGTGGTCAGAACTGCTGGACCAGGACTGGAGCTGTACACAGACATGCAAGGTGTGACCTGCATGCTGGTAGGCTGCTTGCTAGCAACCCAAGTAAGAAGATGCAGTGCTTTGCTACTGAAGGCCCCTGAACTTGCACAACAGAGGTGACAGTCCTTTCCTGGTCTGGCCTGTTCCACTGTATGTCACACAGTGGAAAACACAAGCAGCTTCTGAGAGGAGCAGACAGAGTACATCTCCCTTCCTGCCTTCCCAGAGCATGTACAGAATGTTTCTAATCTATCAAATCCTCCACCACTTTTCACACTAATAATTAAAGTGCTAATTACCATCATAAAAGCTCTTCCTGCTGGTATTTCACACAAACAACTGCTTAAATCATGGAATCAATGGTCCATGGTAGTGACTTTAAATACCCATCAACTAGGGACTGTTTACAGGTCAGATCTGGGTTTCAGATAGTTTTAAGAGTTTAATTTTATTCTTCCAAGCTATACTGTCCAAAACGAACATTTCAACTACATATTTACACGTACGGATATGACAAAAATGTCTTCCAAGTTACCTTCAATTGGACAACAATTTGTAACATTAACTGAAGAGGACATGGGATAGGTGTACACTTAGGTGTGGGGTGTAAGTGCACACCTCATTTTGCTCACTAATGAAGAAAGCAGCTAAATCAGGAGACGCTTCTGTTTATGACCACAAGATTACATTCTATTAAAATGAGGGGACATACAAATAGCAAATTTAAACTCTTACTAGTAAAAATTCAGGATTTGAGTGAGTAGTTGATACCCAATAAGACTAGGCTTATCAGGTAGTTAAGCGGACTACTCGCATTCCTCCCCTCTCCCACTGCCTCTGTATCAGAGGCTTAAAAGCCGGTTCCTCCCAGCACGGTTTATGTGGTGCTGCCTGCTGTGTCTAATGGGGGCGAAGGGGGGAGAAGAGCAGAGACTGTTCCGGCAGTAGCCCGTGTCC